GTGGATGGATTATCTCGGCAAAGGAGAAGTGCTCACTAACACAGATTTAGACAGATTTGTGAACAATATTTGAGAGAAATAGGCCTTTTGTGTACATAGAAAAAGTCTTAGATCTTTGAGTTCAGCTCATGAAAAATGGGGGCAAAAACAAAAGTGTTGCGTTTATAATTTTGTTCAGTGTGTATATATATATATATATTATATATACTACAAATTACAAAAACGCACAACAGAATCAACTAAAATTAAAATTAAACCGAAAATATAAACTGATTCAAAATATAAATTGAAAATTATAATAGTATCTCTGTGATGCTAAAATTATCATTTATCATTTATATAATTTAGCTTTAATACTTAATGGGATGCAAGCAGTATTTCATGTTGGGTTTAATGACTTTTAAATGGGAACTATTTCTGAGTGAAACTGAACATTTAGTAGGAAATTATGTAAAATAGGAAGTGGATTGTATCCATTGGGATTTTTTATTGGATTGTTTATTCAGTTAGATTGATTTATTTTTTTATATGTTTTTTTTTCTTGCTGCTTGGTCTTGATTACATCAGCCAAAATGTTTTTTCTGAGGTGTAGAAGGATGCATTTTGATAAAATATTAACAAATTTGTTCCTGTAGCATTACATGCACCAATTGTGCAATAAAACCAGAGACAAATGCTAAAGTCAGTAGGAGCAGTTAATTTTTGTTACTCATTCATGTTGACCATTTCTGTAACTGTCTCTCAGGTCCATAGTGGGGATGACCATGTACAACCAGGCCACACAGGAGATTGCCAAACCGTCAGAGCTGCTCACCAGCGTGCGGGCCTACATGACAGTGCTGCAGTCCATAGAGAATTACGTGCAGATTGACATCACCAGAGTGTTCAACAATGTGCTGCTGCAGCAGACCCAACACCTCGACAGCCACGGAGAACCAACCATCACCAGCCTCTACACCAACTGGTGAGACTCTACATACCCATTCCAGAATAGCCACAGAGTGAGGATGTATACTGTATACTGTAGACATAGGCTGCTGCCTTCTAAAGGCCCCGATATACTTAAACTAAGTTCGTTTTCGTTCTTCGTTTGCGGGCAAAAAGAAGTTCAAAAAGGCTGAGCGACGGTATACTGTTTTGGAACATTCCAACACTTCCAAGGCGGGGTGTAGATTAATGTAAACGTGTCACGACACATTTATTTGAAACACATGTATTTGGTACTTGCTACCTTATATCTTTACTCCTTCCTTTCATCCTTTTCATGGCTTTGGAAAACTTGCATCTAATGTTTCTCTACGTTGCTTTTTGCATAACTCCGGGTCGTCGACACCAAGCTTCGTTGCAATATCTTTCTAGGAATTAAATGCTTTCTCTGAATCTTTAAAGTCTCTCTGCGAGCGATCGTACAGGTGCGGATATATTGGTGCAGCTCAGCTATTCGACACAGTGTATTTATGTTGCTAGTGACATGAAGATGTTTTTCTCCTCCATTGAATGAGAAACGAACCGGGAAAAAAAATCGCCCGTCAAAGAAGGTGAAGTTCAAGAATACACCCACCAATTGCGTAATCGCCACGGACCAGTGGTAGCTCAAAGGTGTTTAGGAGTATATTATATATACTACAAATTACAAAAACGCACAACAGAATCAACTAAAATTAAAATTAAACCGAAAATATAAACTGATTCAAAATATAAATTGAAAATTATAATAGTATCTCTGTGATGCTAAAATTATCATTTATCATTTATATAATTTAGCTTTAATACTTAATGGGATGCAAGCAGTATTTCATGTTGGGTTTAATGACTTTTAAATGGGAACTATTTCTGAGTGAAACTGAACATTTAGTAGGAAATTATGTAAAATAGGAAGTGGATTGTATCCATTGGGATTTTTTATTGGATTGTTTATTCAGTTAGATTGATTTATTTTTTTTATATGTTTTTTTTTCTTGCTGCTTGGTCTTGATTACATCAGCCAAAATGTTTTTTCTGAGGTGTAGAAGGATGCATTTTGATAAAATATTAACAAATTTGTTCCTGTAGCATTACATGCACCAATTGTGCAATAAAACCAGAGACAAATGCTAAAGTCAGTAGGAGCAGTTAATTTTTGTTACTCATTCATGTTGACCATTTCTGTAACTGTCTCTCAGGTCCATAGTGGGGATGACCATGTACAACCAGGCCACACAGGAGATTGCCAAACCGTCAGAGCTGCTCACCAGCGTGCGGGCCTACATGACAGTGCTGCAGTCCATCGAGAATTACGTGCAGATTGACATCACCAGAGTGTTCAACAATGTGCTGCTGCAGCAGACCCAACACCTCGACAGCCACGGAGAACCAACCATCACCAGCCTCTACACCAACTGGTGAGACTCTACATACCCATTCCAGAATAGCCACAGAGTGAGGATGTATACTGTATACTGTAGACATAGGCTGCTGCCTTCTAAAGGCCCCGATATACTTAAACTAAGTTCGTTTTCGTTCTTCGTTTGCGGGCAAAAAGAAGTTCAAAAAGGCTGAGCGACGGTATACTGTTTTGGAACATTCCAACACTTCCAAGGCGGGGTGTAGATTAATGTAAACGTGTCGCGACACATTTATTTGAAACACATGTATTTGGTATTTGCTACCTTATATCTTTACTCCTTCCTTTCATCCTTTTCATGGCTTTGGAAAACTTGCATCTAATGTTTCTCTACGTTGCTTTTTGCATAACTCCGGGTCGTCGACACCAAGCTTCGTTGCAATTTCTTTCTAGGAATTAAATGCTTTCTCTGAATCTTTAAAGTCTCTCTGCGAGCGATCGTACAGGTGCGGATATATTGGTGCAGCTCAGCTATTCGACACAGTGTATTTATGTTGCTAGTGACATGAAGATGTTTTTCTCCTCCATTGAATGAGAAACGAACCGGGAAAAAAAATCGCCCGTCAAAGAAGGTGAAGTTCAAGAATACACCCACCAATTGCGTAATCGCCACGGACCAGTGGTAGCTCAAAGGTGTTTAGGAGCCAAAACAAACTCCCCCAGAAAGTTCGCTTTGGTGAGCGGTTTCGAACTGCCGAAACGAACTTGAAACAAACTTGGTTTCAACCTGATTTTGTTCGAAATGACATATCAGTTTGTTCTTTGATTTCGTTTGAAGTATATCGGGGTCTTAAGACATCCTAACAGAAGTAGAACCTCTTAAGTGACCTACATAGGAAGCAACAAAAAGCACTCCTAATGCAAAGCCTTGACTAAACTTGAACCATTATATAATTATAACTTGACCAGTAAATAACTTAAGTATTTAATGCTTTTGAAGTATATTAACAAGGGCACTAGGAAATCTTATTTTTAATTTTTGTGATTTCCTTTTTTTAATGGTTTAATTTACATTTTAATAATTAAAAAATCTAAACATTTAAATATATATATATATATATATATATATAACTTTAACAATTTAACAATAATTCATACAATTTTAACACTTTAACAATAATAGGGCACTATGAATTGCATTTTTTTGATTTTTTTTTTGTCTGTTTGAATTTTTCAGATTTCTGTGTTTTACGATTTAATACAATTTACACCAGCAAAAATGGTGGAAATTAAATGGATGCGTAAAACTTTAGCAATTTAATTAGTCTATAAAACATAAACAATTTGATATTTAAAAAAAAATTATTTCATGTTTTTGGCAAACAAAGTGCTACATAACAGATTCAAACAAGTTAAATTAAAACATGGATGGAAAATTGTGTGATATTTTGTAATAGTCTTTAAAAATAATAGCTAAATAAAGAGGTTCCTATGATGTCTTATAATGAAATTTGGTTTGGTGTTAATCTGTGCGCAGGTATCTGGAGACTCTACTGCGGCAGGTTAGCAATGGTCACATCGCTTACTTTCCTGCCATGAAGGCCTTCGTTAACTTGCCCACAGAGAATGAGCTCACCTTTAATGCAGAGGAGTATTCTGACATATCTGGTGAGGAGAAAAAGCACTCCACAAAGACACTTTGAATAAAGGGTTTCCTTGTTTAGAAACATTACACAATCCTCAGCTGGACGTGATTATATCCACACTCAAACTGTCATAGCACGTCTGAAAGCTCTTGTCTTTTTCTCTCAGAAATGCGTTCCCTGTCTGAGCTGCTGGGTCCGTACGGGATGAAGTTCCTCAGCGAGAGCCTCATGTGGCACATCTCTTCCCAGGTGGCTGAACTCAAGGTGAGCGATAAAGGTCTCTGAGGTGAAAGGTCACATCATTAGGCTTGTCACAGTTCTGACTTCTTTGCCTTCCTCTTAGAGAGTTTCTGAAGCACAGTTCTCTGTTGGAGACAGCCTTGCGCCGTTGCTTAATAACGACGGCGCAGGAGAAGGCGGCAAAATGCATAGTTGCTCTATTCATTTTTATATATTTATGTTTTTGAACCATTGGTTATGTTTCCAAATCTTCAGTACATAGCGGCACTTACGTCTGTCTTACGAATGTACTGCAAATACTCTAAAGCAGTGTTTCCCAACCTTTTTTTAGTCGCAGCACCCTTTGGAAATTTTAACAAACTTGTGGCACCCTACCGTGTTTGTTTTTTTTTTCGTTTTATTTTATTTATTTATTAACTTTATTTATTTAGGTAGTTAGTATGTTTTTATTTATTTATTTATTTGATAACATCAGTTTTAGGGGTGTCAAAATTTATCGTTTCTTCGATGCATCGCGATGCAGACGAAGACGATTCGGTATCGGTTCAGTAATAGACCGAATTACCGATTATAACGTACTGATGCTTTTCTGACGTCATTTGTCGCATACGTGCTTTGTCGCAGTAGCATACATTAGGCGCGTTCGGCTTGAAGCGCCACTGCGCAGAATGATCAGTGTATGACCAAGTACCGTGAGAGCGATAAGAGAGCAGACAGATCCTTATGCTTTCGCGGTTGATGTCATACACTCATCCTGCACAGCGCTGCTTCAAATCGAACGCGACTAATGGCAGAGGGAGGCAAGACGCGAGTGATTAAAAATGCTCCTTTACTTTAACTACTTTAAAAGCCGACATCTGGCCACATTTCGACTTTTATGAACAACCTGAGCACGACCTGGAGAAGAAACACGCTGTGTGTAAATCATGTCATGCACAATGAAATATGTAGGGTAGGGATGGGCAAATGAAGCACTCGTGAAGCTTTCCTCTGACTGTTTCGGGAAAAGATTCAAAGTTTCGAGTGTCTCGAAAACAGCGCCATCTGGTGGTTCAAAAAATATATAGCAGCCAAAAGCCTGTGAAACACGCTCGGCATCTACCACATATTCCACAGATCGATTCAAGTTACATGCACAAATAAAAGCCTAACAGTGTGTGTGTTTGTGTTTGTTGAGTTTCTGATAAATTAATTTACCCATTAAACTGTGCAATTTAATACCAGTACAAATATCAATATGATGTAATAGAAGAATGATGTACTCATATGAATTGCATATGACAAATATAGAATTTTTCTGAAATAATTTGTATTCTTATTTCTTATGTGACTGGGTATCTAAAATGTAACTGAATAAGTCCGAATTAAAACTTATTCATAAAGTAAGATCTGGGGGATCGAACATTTCGACACGCAAAGTGAATCGCGCACATGACTGGACAGAAAGTGAAGCTTCATTTGTCATTGGTCACGTGATTTCTATGACAATTAACAACACAAGCTTCGGATCGAGGCTTCATCTAGCACGCCCATTTATTCTCGACACAAGCTCCGATGCCTCGTTTCAAATGGTACATTCCTAGCAGGGGGTAATACCACTAACTTAAGAAACCAGGTCAGATACAGTTCATATATCTGACTGCTTGTATTTATTGACAAAATTGTATAAATGTGAAGTAAAATAGAAAATTGAGGCATGCAGTGCATTGTCAATGCATTGTGATGCATCGTGATATCGAATTGAACCGAATCGATGACATGATAATCGTAACCAAAACGTGAGACCAGTGTAGGTTCACACCCCTAATCAGTTTGGCTTTTTTAATAACTTGCTTATGTATTTCATTATTATTTGTATTTTTTCTTTAGGAAAGTCACTTTGACTTACTGGCAGGTCTTGTCTGAATCTGTGGCCTTTTTTTTAAATACATTTTTAGAATTTAAGGAAAAACTGTGAAATTGTCTTTGTTTTTTTTTTGTTTTCTTTTTTACATGGTATAATGTGTTGAAGCTCATGACCTTAAAACGTGGCTGACAATGGTATGTTTGTGAAACATGATTAAATTATCCAAATATGTAAAACCAAAACACAACAGGTTGTGTAAAACTTTTTGAATGATTGGATGTTCCAATTTTGTGGACGTATGAAGAGCTTTCTGTGGATTACTGCAGCCACAGATTCCATGTGGGCCTGTTTTCCGGGAACAGAGTTTAGGTAGCACTTCCCCTCACTCTGAGTTACTGTCAGCAATGATGAATTAATGGGAACTGTGATCAAACCTGAACCAAATGCTAGTTTGATTACATTGAAGGTAAAGCCTTCCTCAATGATGAATTGTTCGCACTCCCTGACACAATGATTAAGGAATGGACTGTTTCTTTCTTTTTCTTGTGCAGTTCATCTGTATATTGGTTTTTTTTCTTTCATTTCATTCATTAATGGCAGCAGGTTTGCAAATGCGTGATATATGTAATTGAAACAGCCCTCTGTATTATAAAAGTTTCTTGAGCAACAACCACCACCAAGTGTGTGAACACAGGCTTGGCACATGTCAGTGATGTTCTAACATGCAAACCTCTCTCCTTCAGCTGAAAGTAATTTGGGGAAAAAAGAACCAAGTTTCCTATCTGACCCACAATCAGGTGTGGAGTGAAATGGTTTATTTTGCATTTCTATTCTGCGCAATGTTCACCAAAGGACTTTAACGCAGAACATGTTTTCTCTTAGAGCTCAAATTACGCAAATCGTTTGTTGACATGCGAACTCCTTCTCTTGCGTTTTTTCGCAGTTCCCGTCTCAGGCGATTTCATGCCTTTAATCGGCTACTGTTCGAGATTGTTCTGTTTAGGCATTAGAAGTAATTTTCTGGGTTCAAAATTAAGTTAAATCAACAGCATTTGTCTCGATTTTCAAATGAAAATGATTTTCTGGTAATCAACGTTGTCATAAATGCTGTTATTAGAATTTAATTCCTTTAAAGGTGCATGTAGCTTATGATGTCCTCCTCTGGAAAGATGGACAGACTGCTTCAGATCTATTCGCATAATTTTTCTGCTTTTTCATCATAGTGTCTTTTATCGCCCTTACAGAAACTTGTGGTGGACAATGTGGAGGTTCTGACCCAGATGAGGACCAGCTTCGACAAGCCGGACCATATGGCAGCACTCTTTAAGCGGCTCACATGTGCGTATCAGTTGTGGGACTTTTAATTATATATAATACCAAAATCATAAGTTGGGGTCAGTAAAATTTGTAAAAAAAAAAAAAAAAAAAAACACTTTTATTCAACAAGGACACAATAAATTTATCAAAATAATAAATTGACAGTAAAATACATTTATTATATTACAAAACAAAATGTATCCGTTTCCATAAAAATATTAAGCAGCATAACTGTTGTAATATTAATGATAATAAGCAATGCTTTTTTTTTTTAGCAGCAAATCAGCATATTAGAATGAGTTGAAGACTGGAGTAATGATGCAGAAAATTCAACTATGCCAACAGAAATAAATTACATTTTAAAATAAAATATATTTAAAAATTAACAATATTACTGTATTTTTTTAACAAATAAATGAGTGTGCATAAGAGACTTCTTTCAAAAACGGTAGTGTATATTTGCATATGATTATTATATTAATCTGCTTATATGCTTTATAAACTTCTGAATTCTTCTGATGTTGAATAAATATAATATTAAATGTAGTAGTATATCAAATACATTCCATGTTTTTTTCTCTCTTCTGGTCTCTGATCTAGTTCAGATTAATCTGCCCATGAACAGCATGTAAAAACAAAGCAAACTGCATTTGTTCGCTTTGTAGGTCTTATCAAAGTGGCTCACATATTGACATAATTTTAGAGTCATGCACAAAGCTATATTAATATTGTGAGACAAGGTCAGAAATTACAAATAAAACTCCAAAAATATCAAAATGGCAATTTAGATGTTGTAAATATTGAAAGTCATGTCCATGCACCACAGGTAGAGAAGCCCTGTATTAGACAGTAGCTGTTTGGAATCTCATGGCATGAGCTGTAATAACACCCACCGACCCCCCCTCACTGCAGACAGGCCCTCTACACTGAGCTATTTGTTATGGCTTGTACTCATACAGTCAGATTACTGCGCTCAAATGTGAGCAGGAATTTAAAAGTCCCGTCTGAGGAATATGGCCCATATACACTCCACCTGCAGACCTATTTTTAGTGGTTCTAAAGGAAGAAAATGGCCTATTTTTGCAAGTTATTAATATGACTTGTCTTCTATTTCTGTAGCGGTTGACAGCGTGCTGAAACGGATGACCATCATCGGCGTGATTTTGTCGTTCCGTTCTCTGGCTCAGGAAGCTCTCAGAGATGTGAGTTGTTATCCAGATGTCTGGTTTCTTTCATGACTCGCTCCACTCTCACATGGACATCGTTTCAGCTTAACATAAGGATGTTGTACATCTCGTATCTGAGATTTTGCTCATTCCAGTCCTAAATTAGCTTCTTATTGTTTCCATGAAATGCACAAGGTGTTAAGTAAAATGTCCAAGCTTTTTTTCATACAGTACACATGGATGATGATTTGCACTGCCAAGCTCCAAAAAGAAGAAAAAGCAAAAAAATAAGTTGTCCATATGACTTATGCACTAAATTCTGAAGTCATGCAATGTCTTTGTGTAATGAAATTTGCATTCATTTGCATTCTCATATATTTAAATCAGTGTTGTCATTAACTAAAACTAACCATTTTAAAAATAATTTTTTGTTGAATGTAAGTAAAATATTGTAATATTAGATGTCATTTTAGAAAAATATTAGATGAAAAACTTAAAAATGTTGCCTTGACTAACTGAAACTTCTTTCTATATTTCTTTTAAGTTAGAAATATAGAAAGAAATGTATATAAAACCCTAATAAAAATGACTAAAGTACATACATTTATTAAAACTACAATTCAAATAAAAATGAAACCTAATGCAAATTATTAAATACTTTAATAGTATATAAATAATGCTAAAATAAAACTTATTCAAATATGCCACCTGAAGATGCTTCAGTTTGGTTGTCGCGTGCCATATGACAAGTTTGAATATGCGTAAGTGTGAAAGAGAGCTACAGTAAGAGATTCTCAGTAAATAATCATTGAAATTTACTGACAAACATTATTCATAAATATGTATATGACATTATGAGACTTTGAATGTAGCGCACAAGTCATATAGACTATTTATGTGGGGTTTTTTTGTGCTTTTCAAAGCTTGTTGGTGTAAATCACTGTCCCATTGTATTGTAAGGAAAAGAGCATCTCAGACATTCTTCTGATTTTTGTGTTTGAAGGAAGAAATAAAATAATACAGCACTGGAATGAAGTGAGGTTGAGTAAATGACAAAAAAGAAGAAAAAATGGTTAACTACTCTTTTGTTCGAAGCCGTCGTTGCCCAAATGAGCTCTAATCACAGATGTGTCCTTTTCTCCAGGTGCTGTCCTGCCACATTCCCTTCCTGGTGAGCTCCGTGGAAGACTTCAAAGACCACATTCCTCGTGAAACTGACATGAAGGTAGGTGACGTTCAGACTTGCTGTCAGCAGTAACGATGGGCCGCCGGACCTGAAATTCTCCCTTTTCTCAGGTCGCCATGAACGTGTACGAGCTGTCTTCTGCGGCAGGCCTGCCCTGTGAGATCGACCCTGCTCTGGTAGTGGCTCTGTCTTCCCAGAAGTCTGGTAGGCTATTTCAGACCATTCGAGATGGTAATGCGCATCAGGCCATTTCTAACCCAGATGTAACTTTTTGGCATCAAAATATAAACTGGCTCGGTTTTTTTCCCAGTCAGAGGAAAATAAAACGGCGTAACTAGAAGTTCTTTGGTTTTGGCCTCTTAAGAAAGTGCAGATTTTGCCGATGTGCATCAGGTGTTTTTGCTCTAGATTTGTTAGAACGCCGAGAGTCCACTTTCGGAATTCAGCTTTCATCAGCATTTGCTACAAAATAGGTTGTTAACAAAGTGTGACGTCGGTGTGCACATACTTGAAAGAAAAGTTGAAGAGGAATTCTTTTTCCAAAGTGAAAAGGCCATTTCATTCCAAATGATTTACCAGAAATCCCTGTATTAAGACCTTGGATGCAAGTTAGCTTGCTGTAAAAAAAGGTTTGGTTTGTGTTGAAACGTTAAGTGGTATCACATGGTTTATATCGGGTCTAATCTGGTCAAGTACTGCAGCGTTAGGATGCTCGCTTGCACTGTGATTACGGTGTAACCTCACACTCAGAAACATACATTACATCCACACCCATGTTCACTTTGGTCACAGTATCAGTATCAGTAATATGTCTTCTTATTTCTGTGGTGAATGATTTCACAAGAAAGCTTCAAACCTCACATGGCCAAGCCTATCTTAACCACAACCTCAAGAGTTAAAAATAATAACAAAAATATCTGTGCATAGGAGATCTGTCTCATGAGTGTCATTTTCATTGTTGAAGCGTGGCTATCTAAAATGACACTTTTAAAAAAAACATTTTTGTAGCGTGATAGTACTCAACTGTCTTCGAAACATCATCACTTTGCCCGTAACTACTATTTTCTTTTAACAGTGTAATGTGACAAAATAATGCTACATGATTTATAGATGCTGCAAAAATTGTAAATTTTTTAAAAACTGGCCAACCAATGATATTGGCGCTTTTGTTCACGTGCCTGGAGCTGCTGAAGTTACAGTAAAACACGACTTGGTGGCGCTCAAGCACAAAATGGTCTTGCCCGAGCACACATTGTTACCTAACGACGAAAAAGATGCATCGAGGCAAGATGAATGTAGAGCAGCTGGTCTCATTGGTGTCTGAACACAAAGAGCTTTCATGACAAATGCGACAGCGACTACAAAAATCTCGATAAGAGGGAGTTGTTATGGAGAGGAATTGCAGATCAAATATGATTCGATATGTACTGGGGTATATCTGTTTTTCATTAAGCGCCATCTAATGTCAGGGAGTGAATTTGCACGTTCACTCGGCTCATCGCCAGCATTTTTCGTCCCAGTGTGCACAAGGCTTTAGGCAATAATCAAACAGACTTAATTTTAATGAATTAGTTCATTTGGACAGGTTGTTTCAGTTAACTGGTTCAAAAAAAGATTCACTAAGTCTATGCAAGGCATTTTACATCATTGTTTAATGGAAATATTCAGTTAAATGCTGCTGTTTATCACAATATTTTTAATATTATACTTTATTATATAAATGTTGTTGTTTATGTAATTTACAAATGATGGGGTTCTGTTCTTAATACATTAACTATTGTTCTTTTTTTAAACTTAATGTTAAAAATGTATTCTTTTACATTACTGTTCAAATGTGTGGAGTCAGATTTGTTTATTTTGAAAGTAAGAAAGAAATTAATACTTTTTTCAGCAAGGATGCATTCAATTGCCCCACAGTAATAACCGTTATAATGTTATAAATAGATTTATATTTCAAATAAATGCTATATTGAACGTTCTACTCATCAAAGAATCCTGAAAATTTCCACAAAAATTAGGCAAATATTTTCAACTTGCTGAAAACTGAGCAGCACCACTACAAGAATACATTTTAAAATATATTAATAGAAAACTGACATTTTTAAATCGCAGTAATATTTCACATTATTTGTGCTGTACTATTTGTACTATCAAAGAACATCAGAGTATAAAATGTATTTTGTTTCAAAAACTTCCGACCAAAAAAAAATAGTAAATGGTAGCTTATGTATAATTGCACTAGTCTTAACATTTTGTAAACTTTTTGTAACCAATGATGTGCATCTTTGTAGTTTGTGAAGCTAGTTTCAAAGTAGCTTCTCTCACAGCTGTTTTGAGATGCATTTGTCCAGAGTTGCTGATCAAACCCTCATCAGGCATTAGAGCCCATTCGAGGAATCAGCTTCCCGAGAAGAGCCTTGTGCACTTAAACGTACCTCATTCCACACAGCAGTTCTCCAGAATTGAGCAAAGCTGTCCGGTGAACAGCTTTCATTTTCTCAGGGCAGCCCAGACCCTCCAGGGCCTCTTGGCCAGCACCAATGTTTTTGTTCTATTCCCCTGATGGTTAAATCCAAAATCTAAATAGCGAGTCAACTCAAACTAGACTTAATTGAATCACTCCCAAATGCTGTTGCGCTAATAACATAAATAAGAGTTAATGTTTGGACATTAGTGCTGTTTTTCTTGGCTCTTTGCGCAGATTTTCGGACACCGTCCAGAGAGAGAAATGCAATCGGCTGCAATTTCCCAGCCATCTCACAATGGCAGCACATCAGTATTTCTCGGAGTTACCTAAAGGAAAATTCATGAACTCAATTCCCTGTTTGTAACAGAAAATATTAGCCCGGAGGAGGAGTACAAGATCGCCTGCCTGTTGATGGTCTTCGTGGCTGTTTCCATGCCGACCCTGGCTAGCAACGTGATGTCACAGTACAGTCCCGCAATAGAAGGTACCAATTTTTACATTTCAGACTCGCGCTGAACCGCTGCGAATGAAATCAGATTACATCTGTGCTGTTTGAACTGCGGTCCGCTGGAACGACGTGTTTTAATGCACGCGGCATTTATCATGTGTGTGTTAACTCTCTATAAATCTTTTAAGGTCACTGCAACAACATTCACTGTCTGGCTAAAGCGATAAACCAGATTGCCGCTGCTCTGTTCACTATCCACAAGGGCAGCATAGAGGATCGCCTCAAAGAGTTCCTCGCCGTAAGTAACAGTATTAGCTGTAATTGTTCTAAACTCTGGCTTAAAGCGTTTTCGTTTCCAATACTTTTACTACACAACATGCGATTTACATTAACATGTCAACAATAAACACTCCATTTATGCAACTCTCTCTCTGGGACTTTGCAGCTTAATAAAACTCTGTAATTCTCTCCCACAGCTCGCCTCCTCCAGCCTGCTGAAGATTGGACAGGAGACGGATAAAAGCACTACACGAAACAGGGAGTCTGTTTACCTGCTCCTAGACATGGTGAGTGAATCCACACCTCTGTTCCAAGACAAGACAGAGCATTTCATAATGGTGTGCAATCATATTCTCTGTAGCAGTGTTAATTTTGACAGCAAATTTTGATTTAGTTTTAGTCATAGTCTTTTGACTAAAATGCCATTTAGTTTTAGTCATATTTTAGTCACCTGAATTGTTTTTAGTTTTAGTCGACTAAATCTACAGTAAATTTAGTCGGCTAAAATCTAATGGGTTTAGTTGCAGTGTAATGCGTTTATTAAGCATTTCTCCAAAATGTCCAAACTCATTATATAGGTTTGATATTAAGCTTTTATCATGATAGACACCGATTTAACTGCGGTGACACACAACATGCCTTTGTTAAAATTAATAAAACCACTTCTCATAAAGAACAAGAACATGGTCTTCTTTTTAATGAAATACCAATGGTTATATAGGCTACTTATGCATTCTTTATAGCAACTTGTTTACCATATTCTTCATTCTTTCAAGCAGACATATTTATTTCTGTGAATAAATTTAGATTAATCTTTAGGGCTACTAAAGTTTTTCAGTCAAGAGCAGTGAGTGATTTTCTGTCTTTCTTTCGTTGCTTGATTAACATCAATAATTCGGACAATAGCAACTAAATTAGGCTGCTGTCCCTTTAAAACCGAATGCACGGATGCAATGTACTGATACACGTTCTCCCTGCAGTTTACGTTCACTTAAGACGTAATCAACTGTTTACACGTGAATTCTCGTCAAAAAGGACAATTTGACATAATTTTGTGTGTAATTCTTAATTCTCCGTTCATGCGACGCGAAAGAGTACTCGTGCGCTGTGAGACGCGCTTTCTGTGTGTGTATGCTTCAGTGTCTGCGCTCAGAAAACCGCAATGAGTTCTCGCTTGCGTCGTCAGATTTATCCATATGTCTGCTCTTCTCTTACTCCCACATACTGACATTTTTTAACATTTTATGCGACGTGCAGCAAGTGTATTTTAGCTTATGTCCCGCTAGTTCGTATATACGCATCTAACCTCCTAACCACGCTGCAGATTCGTCCTGAAATTGAATAAATCTCATTTTTGTCTCGTTTTTATTCGTTGACGAAAATGTCAATACATTTTCGTCATAGTTTTTGTCATTCGTACGCATCTAACCTCCTAACCACGCTGCAGATTCGTCCTGAAATTGAATAAATCTCATTTTTGTCTCGTTTTATTCGTTTTATAGTTTTTGTCATTCAAAAATAATTTTAGTTCGTTATCGTCTCGTTGTCGTCAGTGAAAAAAAATGTCGTTGACGAAAATTATTCGTCAACGAAATGAACACTGCTCTGTAGACATATCTGTTTTTAATGATAATGTATTAATTATTCAAGACAGACTATGTTATGAGGTTTTTAATTATATATGATATACTGTATATACTTCTGTGAAAGTAACTGTGGTTTCAAATAAAATAAAATAAAAATTATTTACAGTTTAAAAAAAAAAATTCTTTCTTTTTAAAGAAATTTGGAAATCACAGGGTCACAAAGTCTCTTAAAGAGAATTGATGTGATTAAGAAATAATAGTTAGGTCTGAAGAAATTATGTTGATTACCAGAGGCGGACTTAACCATTAGGCAAAGGTAGGCGACCGCCTTGGGCCCCCAAAAGCCAAGGGCCCCCTAAAATGTTTTTTATATGCGAGATGCGCATTCAGTGCGGACACACCATGGGTTCATTACCACGACAACCGTCTGTGTGTCCGCGTTGAACGTGCTTCTTAGCAAAAGTAGGGCGATGTAGAAAATGGGGACGAAATCCCGGAATCTTTTCATAAAAACAGAATTTACTGTGTAACGCGGAATGTGACGGAATGAACGGCGCAGACGTGTGTTTCGTTTGCTAGTTTGCTATTTAAGCACGCGCAACGCTCGCGGTTGTCGTCTGTAGTAGCTAAATAGTATTTTTGCCATTTAATATTCACATACACTAGTCCATATCGCGGTTTGATTGAAGTGTACTGAATTGCATTTGATTTATTCATTCAATATTTGACGAATTCCGTGACATTGCTCGTTACACAGTACATTTCTGTTGTGTAGCATTTTGAATGTACAAAAATTAAATGGTTTGTTTAATTTTCATTGGAATAAAAGATAGATTAATGTTTTCGCCTTCATTTGATTAGCAGAAAAATGAAAATACACAACACAGAATTTAAAAAAAATAAGTAAATAAAATTAAAATTTCATAGGGCCCTATTATTGTATACAAATTAATAAATTAAGTTTTTTATGAATTCAATTAATTAGATATGTTTTTGATTAAACCATTAAAATGGAATACAGAAAAAAAAAGAAAGAAAAGGCAGAATTTGGGCCCTAAGAATGTAATTTTTGTTAAACATTTAATAGGCCTAAATTGCTGTTAAATGAAACAAGTTTCATGATTTTAATTAATTAGACATGTTTTTTGTTCAAATTTAATATAATCATCCAGAAAAGAAAAAAAAACTGAATCCAGAAAAATTTAAACGGATAAAAAGATTTTGGAAAATATAAAACTTAGGCTAATTTGGGAAAAATAAAACAGATTTCATAGGGCCCTACAAATATCATGCATCTGAAGCTATAATTTTAATACTAAGCAACAGTGCATATTATATAGGGCCTATTTTAATTTTTTTAAATGTTTAAACGTTTTTGTGAAAGACCCAAGAAGGACCATGCACAGTCACTTTCCACACAGGCACACTTCATGTTTGGTTGAAATAATCCTTAAGCATATATATTTATAATTTCCTTCAGTTTAATTTAAATGTGCAATTAAAATAAATAAAAATAAATGTATATTTTAAAGTTTAGAATTAGACAGCCTTGCGTTGTGTAGACAATTGCATAGTGAAAATTACCCCAACGCACCACTTAGTGTCTAACCTAAACTAATACTATTATAACCTGTTTAAATGTGAACAAGGGATTTACAACATTAAAGAAATCCTTTATTTATAACATGTACATGAAAAATCTAAAAGATTAGACACAACTATGGGACACGGTCGTGCAGCAGCGAGCAACAGTGAAAGGAACCTCAAGATTGTAAATGTGTGAAATTGTATAGGGCCCCATTCCTGTATTTTGCCTGGGGGCCCCCAAATCACTAAATCCACCCCTATTGATTACGTCTGTTTCCCATACATGGTGAAATGACATATTTGGGGGAAAAAGGTTTCTATTTTAAATAAATGCTGTTTTTAACTTTATTTCATCAAATAATCTCTTATGCTCATCAAGGCTGTATTTATTTGATCAAAAATGCAGAAAAAACTGTAATATTGTGAAATATTATTGCAATTTCTCATATTGGTGTCCTTTTTTAATATACTTTAAAATATAGTTTATTTCCGTGACACACCAGCCATTACTACATTTTTTTTGTGTCACGTGATCCTTCAGAAATCATTCTAATATTCTGATTTGTTGTCAGTGTTGAAACTTTTGTGCTGCGTAACATTTTTTTGGAACCTGTGATCATTTTGTTCTTTAATTCTTTGATGAATAAAAAGTAAAAAAGAAAAAAAATGTACTGACCTCAAACCTATGAATAGTAGTGTATACTGTAACACAAAATTTATATTTTGAATAAACACTGTTCTTTTTAACTTTTTATTTATCAAAGAATCCTGATAAAAGTATCATAGGTCCCAAAAAATATTAAGCAGCATAACTGGTTCCAACATTGTTTATAAATCAGCTTATTAAAATGATTTCTGAAGGATCATGTGACACAGAAGACTTGAGTAATGATGCTGAAAATTCAGCTTTGCTTCACAGGAATAAATTATATATTGAAGTATATTAAAATAGAGAAATGTAATTTTAAATACAATAATATTTCACAAAATTAAATTTTTTTTTCTTTAAATTTCTTTTAAAACACTAAACATCTTACTGATCCTAATCTATAATATATAATGTTTTGCAGTAAAGTTAAATTATTTAGCAAGGTCTAAAGTCAGTAGTTTTGTCATAACTTCACAATGCATTATGGTATAAATAGTCCATTTCCCCATAAACAATATTAATTAGAATTGTCTGTCTTTTTTTCATAAACTTTATTGCAGTAATAAAGTAATTGTTCTCAGAGTGGAATGGTTTGGTTCAATGCTTAGAATTGAAGAATGTTTTGAACTCCCTATGGAGAAAATGAATGGGCGAAATACTTTGGTGCGCACTATTTCTCCATAACCATGTGATGACTTGGAAATGTGCTAAGGACTGTTTCTGTTGTTTGTGTTTGAGTCACGCAGCTCTTTTGATCTGTAAGGCTTGCGGGGGATTTGTCCCTGGGATTTTTCACTCTTTGAAGCGCAATCTGCAGGATGCGTTGAATTAGAACGTCATGGAAAGCAAGAAGGGGTTTTTTATCAGAATGAGCCCACGAACTTCCCAATCCCATCACCCTGACATCTGTTCTGATTCTGAACGTGATTGTTTTTGTCTAGATCGTTCAAGAATCACCATTCCTCACCATGGACCTCTTGGAATCCTGCTTCCCTTATGTCCTGCTCCGGAATGCCTACCACGCCGTGTACAAGCAGTCTGTGTCTTCTTCCGCGTAAGAGTTCCCGTGCGTAGAGCACTCGAGGGGCGGATACTTCAGCCCTCGTTCTATATTCCTCTGTAGGATTCTCCAATGTTATAGTCTTACCAGTTCAAGACTTTTAATGGGATCAAAACTTTTATGACACTGAATAAAGAGGGGGAAAAATGATTTGTTTATTGACCACTTACAATAATCGATTTTGATCCCAGGGACTAGTGACACTAAGTATCATTTTGACCATTTTTTTGGGTTTGTGTTTTAATTTGCAATGGTTAAACATGGATACAAACACATTAAATAGCTAATTGTGTGTGTTGGGACGTGGGGGGGAGGGCAAGGGTGTGAATTATTAAAAACTCTACATCATGCTAAATGCTTGTTACGATAACAGATGCCTCTATGAAACAGTGATTCTTTTTTTGATGTTGTTCTAGATCTAATCTGTGTGGGTTACTGCGTGCTTTTTTTCTCTCTCTCCCTCCCTGTGAATTTGCATTTATTTTCATTACACTTTGTGTTCCTTTGACATACTTGCCAAATTAATGGATATAACAGCATCTCATTTGGATTGAAACGGCAGAATTGTGCAGAACTACATGTTATAAAAGCAACCTAGTGTTGTTTGTACAAAGCATAGTATAATTTTTTAACTAAATTTCATAATGCTTTGTGGCATTGACACTCCATTGTACCTGTCCGTGAGCTACAATAAACATTCTTACATATTTATTGAATGTTTATCAGTTGTTTTCCCCCTCCTCTCCCTTAACTGGTTTTATATGTTTTGGATTTTTTGGAAATGACAATGTATCTTCCATAACATGAATAAACATCAGGTCAAATGCAGTTTGACTGGTCCACTTTAATGCTGTTTAGTGATGCAAAGTAGTTCTGATAGTCATGAAAAATCTGGAAATAACAGTAAATTGCCTTTGTGAGTCGGTTAATTTGAATAATTCTGTCAACTTCCAACTTCTTGGAAAATTCATTTATCAAGACGTGTGGGAACCCTGTAACAGGATGCATGTGTGATTTTGATACTGCATTATGTGGGAATATAAAGAAAATGGCATCTATACACAGCATTTTTATTATTCTGTTTTTAGTCCAAGCTGACAGGAACATTGCTGAATTTCTTTGATCGGAGGCTGCCCATCTAAATCTTCTCACATGAACTGAGCCAAAGGGCACACTGTGCAGATGTTTTTAAAAGACTAGATTTACTTCTATGGACTTGTTTTTACCTTTTGTTTGCACTCTGTTTTTAGCTTCACATTTAAGTTGTACCTGACCCTTTTAGGTATATAGTTAAAGGGGTCATATGATGCTGCTAAAAATAACATTATTTTGTGTATTTGGTGTAATGAAATGTGTTTATGCGGTTTAAAGTAAAAAAAAAAAAACACATTATTTTCCACATACTGTACATTATTGTTTCTCATCTATGCCCCGCTTTTTTGAAACACATCGATTTTTACAAAGCTCATCGGTCTGAAAAAGCAAGGTGTGCTCTGATTGGCCAGATATCCAGTACGTTGTGATTGGCCGAATACCTCAAGCGTGAGACGGAAATGTTACGCCCCTCACATACTGTTGATGCCGTGTCCCGGCCGGAGCTACGAGACATAAATATTAAAACCCATTACAAACGAGGCATTTGTTGCATCCAGTGGGGACATAATTACTGATTATAATGACTTGTACTGTCTTTTTACGCGTTGCGTTGCATTGCATCACGCCGCGTAAACATAAAACTCTGTCTGCATTTGTGATCAGAGAAATGACAAACAACAAGTGTTACTCTACTGCCCAAAACTCACGTTTGAATCAGTGGCAATGGAAAACACAGCGGCCTAGCGTGAGGGGAAGCCCCGACTTGGCGTGCTAGCTGAGGCTGGGTTAGAGTGAGCTGAGGCGGGCTGGACTCCGCTTCGTCCACGGTGAAAGTTGATGTATTCCCTCAGCGACCAGCATAGATCAGCTCTAGGCATGACGAAGCGGATATCGTCCTCTTTTGGAAGTCCAAACAAAGTAGTTTCGCTTTCACAACGAATCACACAGCGTCTTCACGACATGGCGGTGGTGGCAACAATACTACAGCGAGAATAAAAGTTACGCCTTCTTTCTTTGCGTGAATATTTTGGCGGCGTTATGCAAATCTTCCCACATAGTGAGGTAGATATGTGGGGGTCGTGTTAGAAGGAGCCGTTTTAGGTAAGCGTGGCTGACTCTTAACTTTTATAAAGAATATCTCTTTGGATTTGAGACTTTAGTCTTTGCAACTTTACAGATCTTCTTTATGCACCAAGAGCTTGTAACACTTCAAAGAGAAAGGAAAAATTGAAATCGCATCATATGAACCTTTAAAGCCTAATTTTTATGTTGCTGCTGCAACAAAAACATATTTCTCCAAGTGTAACTGCATAATTGAGCCCATGCAAACGATTTGCTACATAGCTGTTCTAGATTCATATCTCTGGCTCTCACAGCATATTGATATTTTGTGGCACATTGCACCGATATTTCAGTGATTATATCCTCTGGTGGAAGGATATCACTTCATGAATTTGCTTAATAGAGCTGTTTATGGTCCTAAACCCCAGAAGATAATTAGCACTTGACTCACGAGTTCCCGCAGAAATTTCTAATGGGTTTTTAGCCTAGCAGTTGTTCGATTTACGGGTAAATTAAGGTGTGTAGTTAACATTTCTTGAGGAGACTTTCACATTTTGTTGTATAACATAAATTGCATACTCATTCCTCGAATGCCGCTAAATGTAAGTTGCTAACAATTTTCTACATAAAAACTACAAACCGATGTCTGATTCGTCAAGAACATAACCTGACATTCTTATGGTAGTTGTAGTCTTTGTTTAGTAATTGCTAGCGACTAGCATTTTTTCAGAAATCATGTTCGAGGTATACCTGTGCATTATGTTGTAAAACCTGGAATGAATGTTGGAATGAAACCTGGAAATCTTATTTTACTAGTAAATAAATAAACGCTACGCTAAAGACACAAAATTAGCCTTAGGCTATACTGTTAGCAAGTTTGATTTCACGATTAAAGAGTTGTATAACTCTTGGTCTCTTAATATTTTCATGTAGATGCTATTTTATAGTATAGTATAGTATTTTCCATATTTTAAGTTAAGCATTATGGCTTAGCCTATATCATTTGCTAAAATATCAGCTCCAAATATAATGCAGTTAATTACTTTTGTAAATTCACTTCAAGAACATGTAAAGTGTGACCCTTCTCCTTTCTAATTTGTTTTACCTTATTGTCCTAATCAACACAGACCGATGTTGATTATAGGTCTGCCTTTAAATGAACACCTCCTTATGTCCACAACTCTATGTACTATGTTACTTATTCAAACAGCGCTTTTGTCTTGAAGTCTTTTACGGCAGCAGTAAGTCAACAGTCTTGTGTTTGAGGGCGCAACAGGAGACTGAAGTGATGGAGGAGGAGGTGGGCTGCTTTATGTCCCCAGCCCACCTCCTCTTATTCCTCCTCCTCCAGCTGCTTCCAGTCGCTTTCTGTCAGCAGGAGCTGGAGGAGAGATCAGTTCACCAGCGCGCTCCTGAAGTGAGGAACCCGACGAGCATTTCCAGGAGAGAAATTCTTTTTTTTTTTCCCCACCACCATTTAAGCGAGAATTAAAAAAAAAAAAAAAAAGAGCTTTTGTTCTCTGTGTATCTGGTGCAATACTTCAGTATGCTGAAGTTAGTTTGAGGAGTTTTGTTTTGGGGAGATTTTACGCGCAAGAGTCTCCAGCTCTCCAGAAGATCTCCGCATGCCCTTGGTGAATTATAATTAGAGTCGTCTCTCAATTGTGTATTTTTGAATCACCAAAAACATGTTTTCCTACGAGATGTTCATCTGCGTCCTGGCCATCACCTGTCTCCTGGAGATCCCCCGAGGCACCGCGGCCGCGTCCTGCGAGCCCATCCGCATCCCCATGTGCAGGTCCATGCCGTGGAACATGACCAAGATGCCCAACCACCTCCATCACAGCACGCAGGCCAATGCCGTGCTCGCCATCGAGCAGTTCGAGGGGCTCCTGGGCACCCAGTGCAGCCCGGACCTGCTGTTCTTCCTGTGCGCCATGTACGCGCCCATATGCACCATCGACTTCCAGCACGACCCCATCAAGCCCTGCAAGTCTGTGTGCGAGCGGGCCAAGTGCGGCTGCGAGCCGGTCATGAAAAAGTACAACCATACGTGGCCAGAGACTCTGGCCTGCGAGGAGCTGCCCGTCTACGACCGAGGAGTCTGCATCTCTCCTGAGGCGATAGTCAAGGCGGAGGGGCCAGGTTATTCATGCATTTATCGATGATTTTTGTTATTTATTTATTGTTAATAATAAATATGGAGAATTCAGGTAAATTGTAATGACTGTTTTCAAGCAGGTTACCTGACCTGAAAACTCCCCTCATCTCTTCCTTTGGCTGTTGGTCACTGGATAGAGAGCAAACCTGGAGCCAGTCCAAACTAGCATGCTATTGCACTGTTTTGTGAAGCATTCCTGCTGTCAGGGAAAGAGAGAGTCTGTTGGTGCTTCTCAATGCCGTGGCTCAGTGCTGGGCCCGGCATTACAGTAATCTACAGTAATAGAGTTACAGAGTTACTCTTTGTAAACAACCTGCTCCAGAGAGCTGTTGCAATGAGAGCTGTCGACCCCATGTCCACCGTTACAGGTACAGACTACAACAGAGAGCATGTTTAGTGCCCACACTAATGCAAAAGAGAGTTTTAAAGTAACATAAAATGTATTTGACACATTTTACTTTTTTATTGTGTTTCTACTCTTACTGTGCATGATTAATCAGTGCATGTTAATGTGCATATTAACGAAAATCATATAAATCATCAAATCTTAGATTGTCTGATTCGGTCTGATATCCTACAATATATATATATATATATATTAATATAAACTTATTTTAATTTAGTTAGTTGCCAAGTCAAAATTTATCATTTTGTTTAATTTAAATACATTTTTTTAAAATAAACTAATTAATAAATAACTAAATTAATTAATAATTAATTAATAAAAATGGTCAAAACAAATGTACTACAACATTAGCTAAAATTAAAGAGAAAATAGAACATATAAAAATAAAATCTAATTCAAAATATTAACAAAAATATAGTTTACAAATTGTATTGTATAATTAGCAATATTTAATTACTACTAAAAATATTTCTCCCTAATACAGTAACTCATAGCTCAGTCTTCTCAATATCCAATAAAACAAACACATAGATGTCCCTGCACTGCATTTCTTTTTCAATGACATGTTTCAATTGTATGTGTCACAATACAATCTGTGACTACATCCATTTCATTGCTTCAATAACAATAACTTTTTTCTGTCTCTGTAAAATACTATTATAATATTAATACAAAATGTTATATATATATATATATATATATATATATATATATACACACACACACACACGTATATATATATATATATATATATATATATATATATACATTTTTTTACTTTTATTTATTTATTTATGTATTTATTTTTTATATATTTTGAAGAGTTTGAAATAGTTAATAACCAGATGGTTTCAGGTCCCACTGACGTCCATGGTGTGGGGAAAAAAATACTATTGAAGTCAATGGGACCCAAAACTGTTTGGTTATCAACATTCTTCAAAATATCTCCTTTTATTATCAGCATGTTTATTGTATGCTTTCACCTTGCATAGCTTTGTTCATGGTTTTCAAGGATCAAAACCTGTCAAAGTGACAGAGTATGATTTGGATGCACTGCATTTTACATCGACAACAAAAGATATGTTTTGTTTTAAAAGTAATCTTTTTCCTATCCTATGCATAATGATATGATTAGTTGTATTTTGCTCTTCTTTCCCCTGCCGTCCGTGACATTATCAGAACAGACCTGTGAACAGAGCTGCTGCTTTAGGCCATCCATCCAGTGAGTGCTGACCTGTTTTTATACAGTCTATGGTGCTGACCCATGTTATGTCATGCTGTCAGTTCCAACGGATGTTGTTGGACGAAGAAAAATTACTCCAAGACAAATTTATGTACGTGAAGGGTCTGCGTAATCACAGGCAGGGGGTTTATGGGAGAATTAACTTGAACTGAATTATTTATTGCGACATAAATTGACCATTCTGTCTCGGCCTGCGGATCTTATGGTATGAGCCACCGTAACCGGGGCTAATGAAATGCCCTCACAATCAGTCCGTCCCGCAGCCCTCATATTTTAACTTGTTGAAATTATGCGACATGTGGGAGCCATCAAACAACATAGCGGCAATGTAAATCTCCTGTTTCCGTTTCTCTAGAGCTGCCGGAGGAGGAGTGGAGGGGGGCACGTCTCTGCTCTTTCAACATCTGGCCCTGCGTCAAACCGATGGCCGGCTTCCCCAAAACATATCACTGACTTCACAAAACAGACCTGTAATGACTACCAGAGGAGCACTTTAGTGAGGCCTAACTACAGTTTCTCCATATAAAATCAGCTTACGCACCATCACCGGATTGGTTTGACATCCATTATGCATGAGAAGGGAAAGAATGGCAGATGATGCACTGATGTGTTCATTTTATGATGTTGAGCAGAAATGTTCCCTCTAAGCTGATCTTTGATGTCGCTTCCACGCAGACCAAAAGAAAACCTGCACAGCAAGGAGACAAAAAGATGTGAAGGAAACAAAAATATATGGAAAATCTAGTTTTAAATGGATGAATGGAGTTTAAATTCCACAGAGTTGCATTTTCATTCATTCTCCGTATATACCTGAAGCTGTGAGATGTCTTATGTGAAAATATGCAACGCTTAAGGCCCATAACATACTCTACTCAAGCTAATTTCATGTGTTCAATGTGTCAGTAAGCACCAAATATTCACATCTTAATTTGTGTAACTCATTTCATGTACACTAATGGCTTTAATATATTGTTACTCAAGGGGGCGATAGAGATACCTTCAAATGTATGAGCCATTAAAACTTTAAAGGGGTCATATGATGCGATTTCAATTTTTCCTTTCTCTTTGGAGTGTTACAAGCTCTTGGTGCATAAAGAAGATCTGTAAAGTTGCAAAGACTAAAGTCTCAAATCCAAAGAGATATTCTTTATAAAAGTTCAGAGTCAGCCACACCTACCTAAAACGGCTCGTTCTAACACGCCCCCACATATCTACATCACTATGTGGGAAGATTAGCATAATGCCGCCCAAATGTTCACGCAAAGAAAGAAGGCGTAACTTTTAATCTCGCTGTAGTATTGTTGCCGCCATGTCGAGAAGACGCTGTGTGTTTCGTTGTGAAAGCTAAACTACTTTGTTTGGTCTTCCAAAAGAGGATGATATCTGCTTCGTCATGCCTGGAGCTGATCCGTGCTGGTCGCTGAGGAAATACATCAACTTTGCGCTGTGGATCGCCGGATCGGCTTTCACCATGGACGAAGCGGAGTCCAGCCCGGAGTCATCACATGTGGTTGCCGCAGGCATCACAATATGGTAAGGGGCTTACCATTTCCGTCTCACACTTGAGGAATTCGGCCAATCACAACGCACTGGATAGCTGGCCAATCAGAGCACAGCTCGCTTTTTCAGACCGATGAGCTTTGTAAAAATCGACAAATTTCAGAAAGGCGGGGCATAGAGGAGAAACAATAATGTACAGTATGTGGAAAATAATGTGTTTTTTTAACCTTAAACCGCATAAACACATTTCATTACACCAAATACACAAAATAATGTTCTTTTTAGCAGCATCATATGACCCCTTTAACAAAACAAAAACAGAACTTTTAAATAAACATGTGCAGCAACAACCATTTGCTTTCATATACATGTTGGCTGAATTCCAAATATTATTATTAAAATCCTAAATTATGCAAACATAAAAAAATCCATACAGTAAATATTATATTTTGTACAATTGTATATAAAGAATTTATAATATAAATAGTAAATAATTAATTAATAAATATAATTATATGTTAATATTATTATATTAAAATATAATACTTTACATATATAATTGTGTCATATATGTAGTGTCATATATATACATATATATATATGACATTACATATATATAGTTGTCATTCTGTATATAGTGATCTATCTATCTATCTATCTATCTATCTATCTATCTATCTATCTATCTATCTATCTATCTATCTATCTATCTATCTATCTATCTATCTATCTATCTATCTATCTATCTATCTATGTCTGTCTGTCTGTCTACAGTATATAATATATATCTTATAATAGATAGATAGATAGATAGATACTGTCAGATAATACAATAAAATAAGTATATAGTTTATGTACTATATATAAATATAATTGTAATATAAATAGTAAATAATAAATTAAATATATTTTAATATTAAATTATATTTAATATAAAAATAGATACATATAGCAATAACTTCTACTTGACTATAAAGTGTAAAGTATAGACATATGTAACAATCTTGTAACAAAAGTTATCACTACAAAACTCCCCAAAAGTTGGCACAGCACACACTGCTTGGGTCTGGTGCTCAGAAGAGTACCAATAAAATATGATTTGCTCAGCAAGAACAAAAATGAGAGAACATTGCTGAGCAGAACAACTCTTAAAATTGATCTAGACCTATTTGATGTGGGCAGTGCTATCCAGAACCGCTGACAATGAGCACCGTCCCCGGACCCTGGACAGGACCTCCCTGCACTCCTGAACGCTGAGAAAGTATCAAAGACTTACTGACCTCCATAATTCACAGCATAAAGAACTGCTGACTAGAGGAACTGTCCTTTTGGGTCTCTTTTTCCCTTTTTAGACATTTCCTGTCCCACCGTAGGGTCTGCGTTCATGAATATGAACGGTGATCAAGAACACATGTTGAAATGTGTGTGAAAAATCTGGGAAATGTTTCAAATTTGAGGTGTGCAGCACAGGCCAAGTCGCAATTACATGCTGATAATATTTCAAGGTCATAGTCATTCACATTAATGATCTTTTTTTCCCCATTTAATCTGTTTTTGTCAATGCGGGAATTAATTACTACCATACTAACTCAATAAATATTTTTATTCTACATTAAACCAAATTAAATGATTGACAAATATATCCTTTAGTTAATTTTGTCATTCTTTAAAGCTGAATTATTATTATTATTATGCCCTATGATACATCTGGAGTCATATCTCATTTGATTAATCTTTATTTTAATCATAATTGTCATTAGTATTATTTATGTATTTATGTGTAAAACTTTTTTAATGAGGAAAAAGTGCAGAGTGCACCTTTAAACTGCTCCTTGATATGACGTCTTCTTTGGGTTTC